AGGCTAAGTTGATCTAGTTTCTTATTATTAATAATAAAAAGTATTCAAAAGTAATATTACTTGATTGGATTAGAATTAAATATTTTTTATTCAAATCTATCTTTTGTTTTTATAAACTAATTTACTAGTTTTCGCTTATTGACTATTATCCATTCTTGAATTTTAAAGAATAAGTTATTCCCTTAATTTATTATTAAAGTATATAATAAAAATATATCAGTTAGCTTTTTTTCAAAAAAGAGGTTTTTGTTATTACTTGTAATAATTGGATATAGGGTTTTAATAAAAACTTTTACTTGAAATTCGATTTTCTGTATAATTGATTCTAAATAGTTGATTTGAAAGTTATTATAAGTTTCTCTTTTTCAGTATATTCTTTGAAGATTTTAAAGAAATCTAGAAGCTTTGATTATTTATTATATAATTAAGTAAAAGTGAATGCTAGTAATATAAAATCTCTTGCTTTTAGAATTACTTCCTTTAATATAATTAATTTATTCTGTATTCTAAATTGTTCTATCCTCTAAAAGAGGATCACAAACCCTTAGACAGAACAGCCGCAGGATCGCCACGAGCGACACTGAGCGGAGGAACACCAGAGGCAACAAGCTTCTGATTAGCTAACATTACACTACTATGAGCGGCGGGAACGTCAGCGGTCTGTAGGCCCGCTCCTTAGTACGTCTAGAATACCCTTCGGGAGGTCAGACATTAGACGTTAATCACTATAAATAAATAAAAAAAATAAATAAATATTCTAAATTGTTTGTTCTAATTATTGAGGAATATTATAGAGTTACATTTCTTATTCTAATTGAATATATAAATAATATTAATTGTACCTTAAATAATAAAGGAATCACTAAGTAAATTGAACTTTTTAGCTTTTATTTTAGAATTAATTAATTGATTAATTGATAGAGTAGAGCTGAAGATTTCGAATAGGGGATTTTCAGAAGAAGGGGGAAAAGCTTGAAGATATTGAAATGTTTAGAATAACTGTAGGATAGATGTTTAGTATAATGGAGACTTCAGAAGAAATCTTCATTATAGCTGTATCTCTAAATATTATTATACTATTTAGACAATTTATATTGAAAGTTATATTCTTGTTTAAGTAATTTTTGAGGTTAAAAATTTATACGAATTTTTGTGTAAGTTTTGTGTTTGGAGTGTTAACAATAATATCATAATAATTACTAATCAGAATCACTTGAAGATAATTACAATCAATTTGATTTAATATATTTGATCTATTCCGATCAAAAAAGGGTTATATTCCGAAGGAAGTTTTTTCCTTTGAAATTTGTTATATTGATTCTCTCTCAGGATCAATTTGAGAGCAAACTTGAGATACTGTTCATGCTTCGAAACCTGGTGCACACATCTAGGGAAGAATAGGATGGGGTAGCTGCAAGTTGTTGGCTGTGAAATTGCTGGACTGCAAAGTTGCTCGGAATATGGGAATGGGGCATGGTGATGGAAGACTTTGCTTTATACAGTATGATACTTATTAAGTAGAAAAACCTAATGCATAAACTCTTAACGTGTAACCACAAGTCTCATGTGAATATCGGTATCTTTGGTTATACAATAATCTGATCCAAAGCATATTCCGCAGACAGGATACCAATCGACAATTTATGAAGTGAATATATCGGAAAATGCCAATAGGCTTATGACTCGAGTTGTAATCACACCAACACAAAATTATCAAAATCCAGTAAGCCAACCGATGCCTTTCTTGCCTCGAAGAATCTGTCTTTCTGAATGACTAAAAAACACGTGAAGTTCGCGATCCAGAATTCTTGAAATAAAATAGAATGAAATAGAAATGATCTATCTTCGGTGCTGTTGAATTGACTCGGAAAAATAGATTTTCCGTGATGACCTTATGTGTAGGGACGAGCGGATTGCCGCATGTATTGTTCATGAGCACTCCAACAATCCAGAAGATATAGGCTAGAGTACTAAACTGCAACCTTGAATGCTTGTGATATTCCAGCAAGTGCTGTATCTCATGGCTATGGGCCGAACGGTGGTCACCCTAAGTTGGGGTCGCCGATTTCCAGCCATCATTCAGGTGATGAATGTCGCGAGTGTTGGCTCTCCATTGGGTATAAACTTTACGATGTGTGGTCTTTGGACGGGAATGGCTTTTAATTTCCCTTGTGGAATTATCATAATCTCATAATCAGGTAACTCTCGATAGGAGGGCGAACAAATTTAGATGGAACGTGAACCATTAGCAACTGCACTGGCAAGCGCTTATGGCGTTTATTTGGGTGTCCATTGTCCTGGAAGTTTGACCTCGATGGCCATTCAGGCCGATATGTTTATTATTCTGTTGGCATCTAGACAAGGTCTAGTATAATGGCTCAACAGCAAACCCCTTATATACGGCAGTTCGTCAACCAATTATTCACATACGGTATTGTAGCATAAAATGTTATTTGCTCAATAACCACCAAGTTTCCTTGCTAATATCTTTCATTCTTCTCGATCATCAAGCTCATTCATAATGTCAACTGAAGGATATTCACCTGCCGATGTAATGCCTTTCGAGGGTTCGAGCCTTTTCTCCAACCTTCCCACTGAATTAAAATGCCGAGTTGTCGATTTACTTGCCGCAAAAGATGTCATCAATCTCCGTCTGACATCAAGAGCTTGGGGTGGCGTATCTGTCAATGGTCTTTTCAATGTTCGGACTGGAAATTATATCGAACATGGTGTATTTTCCATTCGACCACATATTGACGACATGACTCGATTACGATCTGTTGCTGGCTCACCATGGCTAGCGAGAGTTATCAAACATGTAAAAATATATGTTGGAGATCTGGACATGTTAGAATTTGATCATGAAGTTCAGACTGTCAACAGATATACCAAAATCGAGAGTATGTTGACTTGCGAGAGGAAGGTTAACACCTTGTTGGAGCAGATTGTCCAGAATAGGATGAAACATTGTGATCCGGTCATGCTGTCTCATTCCCTTTCGAAACTACCATCGGTTAAATCCGTTACAGCCACCGCGAATGAATGCCCATTTTCGCCTTCGGAAATCAATTTCACATTAGCATGGATGCGACTCATGCGAAGATGGAATCGTGAGCCAGACGCACTTTACGACTCCTACGATACTACATTTCCTACAAGATCAAGTATCAGACATCTCAGTATACTAATTGCAACGCGGTTGCTTCAAAATCCTGTTCGGAATTTAGTACTGGATACTTTCCCAATCGATCTTTTCGCTAGTCGAGGCTTCCATGATGACGACGACCAAACCGGAACATCATATGAAATTCACACTAAATTCCTCCATGATATGCAAGATATGACGTCAAAAGTCGAGAACCTCCGAATTGGTATCAATCCTGTTAGCAATAACGCAACAACTCACGAGCACACCGGAGTAGTCGCTAAATCTATAAATATGTTCATGGGATCCATGCAATCCCTTCAATCCTTAGATATTACTTTAAACATGTCCTCTCGATTTCCGAGTGATTCAATGGAATTAACAACCCAGGATGGATTCTATTCCAATACATTCCCCCATCTCGAGCACTTTCGTATTTCCAAGGTAAGATCTTTCGATGCTCCATTCTACTCATTCATATTCCGTCATAAATCGACTTTGAAATCTTTATCCTTAGGACATGATTTCTTCCTCGTTCCTCAAGATAGGCCCAGAGGATGCGTATCTGTCAAATTCATTCTTTTCAAATTGCGCGATGGTATGAAGTTGGAGAGATTCCAATTATTGATCAGGGCCAGTGATCAACAAATCTATGATCAGGATTGGCAGATCGTCAAGTCTCCCAATAACAAATTATCGGATGCAAAATTATTCGAAATGTTCGTGCTGGGAAAATGGTCGTGGCCGATGATAAATGTGGATTATCCGCATTGGAGACGATTGGATGAGTGGAAAGGATGGGTTAGAAGAGATGGGTGGGACAAGCTAACGTTAAAGTCGAACAGGGATACTAAGGAGTTGGATTGGCAGGATGGAAACGTATAATAGAAAAGTATAATTCTTCTTTCTTCTTTAATCTTTTGATTTCTTTGGTTACGTTATTTGAGCAAAATTTGATCAATGAGTTCTCCAAGTGACGGTGTGAGAGTTTGATGAATGCCGAATCGTTCTTTCCTTTTCAAATAGCATGCTGAAATGAGTCAGTAGAACTAGATTTTCACTCTATAGCTTCATTTCTCTCTTCTAATTTTTCACCATCTTCATTTTTCATCTCCATGGCTGTCATTTCCCTCTTTTGAAGAAGCTATCTAGTAGTACAAGGCTAGCTCATACCAGATACCAGCAAGATCTGTCAATGTGGGGCTTCTCCAAGACTTTAACATGACGTACATCACTAGATTTCCGTCTTGACCGGTTTAGCTCGATCTAGGGCTGCATGATGCTTCTACTAATAGCTGTATCGTGTGATTTTTCTGCGTCACAGCTAAGGATAGTACTTGATGAGACGTTGATTGCTACGAGAAAAGAATGGTGGGGTGTGAATTAGTGCTGGATTAGACGGTTTAGGTTTCTATAGTATGGAAATGATATGCTTGTTTTTAATGACAGGTACGCTAGGTAGTGTTCCGAAAATATTATATGAAGAATTTTCCTACGGTTCGATCTCTTTAATATATAAGGATCGTTTGCACTCCAATCAAGCATATTAACCACGTATTATCTACTCCTTTCATCGTGTTGGACATTTACTTCATCTTAGACTTTTCAATTCTTAAATATTCTACTCCTATCAACCTCTGAAAGCATCAAAATGCCTAAATCCACATCCACCTCCACCTCACCCCCCTCCGACAAGAGTTCTTTCCCGGAAGAAGTATTCCCACCGAAACCTTCCGCCTAATCACAAAGTACATCGACCCGGCCACTCTCCCCAGCGCCAGATTAGTAAGCCGTAGCTGGGCACCATTGATGCTAGAAGTGCTATTCGCACGGCGCGGTTTCTCCATATCACCTTTCAAAAATGGCATGCAAAGACTGGAGGAGGTGGCGCAAACCATTGGAATGCCATCGATCCATCACTTAGATATTGGTCTTGGAATTGTTGATAGTCGCAGATTGGGTTTGCATATTCTGCGTAATACGCCGTCGATTTTGCTCGCGAAGATGTCGCAAGATCAGAGAACGCGATGGTTGCGGGAAAAATTGTTGGGAGAGTCGGATAAATATTTACGATACTGTCGCGGCGAAGCGTTTGCACGACTCTTGCTGCCTCTAAAGAACTTGTCTTCGATAACTATTTCGCATATTGAGAATCACGTTTCTCCGAGCTTGTATCAGCGCCATGAAGAATTGTTGGATGATCCAGAAATGGACATGGAGATCTACACTCTGAAACAATGGGCTTCTCTACCTCCAATCAAGTTTCAGGGGGTTCTCGATATACTCACTCGTATGTCCTTATCTGGATCTATTGCCCTCACACATTTGAAAATCGAATCGCTTCCCATTTACACATTCATGACTTGGGATTCAGAGAGGGCAATTGGCACTGATGTCTCTGCTCGATTCATTGAAGCTTTTTCTCATCTTGAATCACTTTCATTGGGTCTCTCATGCTGTGTTCCCAATGGACGTTTATCTTTGAATCCTGAGCCTTCATGTTTTCATCATAAGGCTACAAGTTTTATCGCCCAGTGGAATATATTAGCCATCGACACCATGTGTAAAGTTGTGTCTTCGATGAAGAATCTCAGGCATTTAGATTTAAATTGGCAAATATCGCCTATTGATGAAGAAGAAGGGTGTACACCCCAAAGGAACTCGAAAAACTTGAGACAGATGTGGAATGAATTATTTCTCGAAAGTACTTTTCCGAATCTCGAAACGCTGCGACTTTCTTGGTTCTGTATGGAAAAGATAGATCTCTTTACATTTCTGTACAGACATAAAGATACGTTGAAATATGTAGATCTGGGAAATTATACTTTTGATAAAGATGATACGTCGTGTTCTTTTCATGAGTTTTTCGAGGGTCTGGAGAAGTTGCTGGAGTTGGAGCAGTTGGAGTGTAGAGACGTGTATTCGATTTCGGCGAGCGTGAGGAAGAATTAAAGGAAGGGGAGAGTGTATAAGGAGATAGCGAAGAAGTAGGGATTTGATAGGGAGGAATGAATGACTTTTTATACATAGAAAAAAGGGAGAAGAATCTAGTTTGTAATGATTTTCAAAATTCCTCTGAGCACAATGTTTCGTGACGGTCCGCTGAGCATGTTGTGTCTTCAGAGATGATTGCCGAGGCCGGAAGGTTGAATACTTTCCTATAAATGTCCAAGGTGCTTCGAGCGCAGCGAGCAAAGGGGGTTGGGGGTCTTGCCCCCATTAATAAGTGAAAACATGAATTTTGAAGTCTATTTTTATTTCGTGAGATCATGTCTAAGGGTATATCGGACTGCAAACTCGTAAACAATGATCATCAAGATGAAGTTTGCAATTCTCTTCTCTTGACAACATCCTCAACAACCTGTTCCAACCACCATGCATGAATCCTCGCATCACCTGTTAGTTCTGGATGGAAAGATGTTCCAAAAACATTTGCTTGACGAACGGCTACTATATCTCCTGCTTCGCTATTGAGTGATTCTTGAATCTCTGGGTTGGAATGGGTCGTGCGACCGGGAAGTGTGGCGAGGACTTCCACAGGGGCGGAGAGAATAGTATCAGGGTTTGGTATAGATTTTGAGTCTATTGGTAGAGAAGGTGCGATGACTGTGGAATCCAGCGTGGATTCTGAGATTTGGGCTCCAGAAACGTGGGGGAGGAGTTTCTCCACGATAGGGGCGCGGATGAATATTGCGGAGAAAGTTGCAGGCTTCTCTTTGTCTTCTTGAGTAGAAAGAGGGGTGGAAGTAGGATCCACGTCTGATGAAGTCGGGTCTAAAGATGAAAGAAATGGTAGATCTAGATTGGCCGAGAAAGATTCTACTTGTCGACCAAAATGATTACGATTCACTCTAACATCGAGACCACCAATCAATTCCTGGCCACCGGCTTTCGTACGGTTTGCAGACTCGGCAAGTAGGATAAGACCTGCACAAGTTCCCCAAGTAGGATAGCGATGATATCTATAAAGTTGTTAGAATGAATACTGGATGAAGGGGGAAAAGTCATATGGATGACTCACTTCACATAAGCTCTCAAAGGCTCGAGAAGACCGGATCTTTGAGCAACAAGTGAAATGGCCGTACTTTCACCACCAGGGATGATGAGTGCATCGCATGAATTAAGTTCGGCTTCATTTCGTACTTCTATGAATTTGTATTCAATAGGAAACTCTCCTCTTGGTGATTTTGACGTAGATTGGAATTTGGATTTGGATTTAGTGGCGAGGATTTCACTGGCGGAACGGAGACATTGAATATGTTCATTGAAAGCACCTTGAAGAGCTAAAACTCCGACGGTGATGTTCAAAGATTGGGTATTTGCCATATTAAGCATTGACGGGGGAGGAATGCTTTAAGGGGAAAGATATAAATAAAGTGATGGCTATAAAAAATATATTCTTCACATGATTTTGATATATTCTCGGAACGAAAGGAAATAACGAATGCCAAGAAAACGATAAACTCAACCGATTACCGAAGAATATCCTTGTAATTTTACCCCAAAGAACTAGGTAGTGAAGTCACCCGAACAACCTTAATTATCGATTAAACCAATCAAAATTGGATTATGTAAACCAATGAAAATTAATCCTCAACCATTTCTTATGCGCTCAAGGATCTCAAGATTTAAGCTTCACTTGTGTTCGTTCCTTCCCCTCCTCCTCAATCTCTTGAACCGCTTCGACAAAATATTGTATTGGTTGATTATCTTATGTCACTCTATTTCCCTCCTTGAGAGGGTCATTTGAACATTCGATTAATTAATCATCCAATCATTAAAAGGTTTTATTCATTTGTGCAAGATTAGCATAAACAAGTCAAGCTCTCAGTCATATTTTACATCTACCTAGGTATTCTGGGTACTTAACTCTCAAGATGTTCGCTCTTCTTTCTTACGCTACAAATCTTTCGATAATCTATACCGTCCTCACTCTATCTCTCTACATGCTCTCTCCTATTGTGCCCCTCGCGGGTTTCTTCGCTCGTCTCCTCGCCGGTTATATTTCCCTCGTCCTTTGCGCCTGTTATGGAGTCTTCATATCGATTCTCCTACGTCTCGTAGGAAACTATCGCATATCGCAATGGGCCGTCGCTCGCGCATTTAAATGGACAATGTGGTTAACTACCGGCGTAACATTTGTCGTCGAAGATCCGAACAATTATCTCGGTACAACACGTCCTGCAGTCTTGATAGGAAATCATCAAACCGAACTCGACGTACTTATGTTGGGCTGTGTATTCCCTCGATACTGTTCCGTTACTGCGAAGAAGAGTTTGAAGAATGTGCCGTTCCTAGGCTGGTTCATGAGTTTGAGTGGAACGGTATTTATTGATCGTGGTAATGCGAAAGATGCGCGACAGGCTATGGCGGGTGCAGCAAAGGAAATTCGAGAGGAAAAACAAAATGTTTACATGTTTCCGGAGGGAACGAGAAGTTATGCAAAGGATCCGACTCTATTGCCTTTTAAGAAAGGAGCTTTTCATTTGGCGGTTCAAGCGGGTGTGCCGATTATACCGGTCGTAGTCGCTTGTTACAGTAATGTTTTGCACGTCCAGAGCTGGCACTTCAAATCGGGGAGGATACCGGTCAAAGGTAGGGCCTCTGTGTTCTATGTGAGGTTTTAGAGATGAAGCTAATTCTGGGAAAATTGTAGTTTTGAAACCAATCGAGACGAAAAATCTTACTTCTGCGGACGTCGAAGATTTGGCGAGAGATACGAGGGAATTGATGTTGAGGGAGTTGGTTGCTTTGACTTCGAAGACAGAGGGAAAGCCAATAGCTATGCCGGCACAAAATGCGGATGGAGTTGTGAAAGCTAGTGGAAGGGAGCCGCAAGTGGAGCATCATATACTATGAGGACTTATATGCTGTGAAGGAAGGGGCCGATCCTTGAATGTAGATGGATAGCTACAGGACCGGGTAGATTTCCGCATGGAAGAGAGATGACACAAGAAAAATGGGTGGGTTGTACGGAAACGGAACACAAAGGGAAAGATGGGGAGTGGAAACAGGTCATGGAACATGAGATATGATATTCAGCACGCGAAAAGATTTTCTCTTGCATGAGTTTGGAGTACATGGACATGGAATATCAGTGCGAATGCGAAAATTTGAAATTCAGATAGTGGTAGATACCCGATAGAATTGGAATTTGATCTGAAGAACAAGATGGATGTCGTTATGAAATTCTATACTGCACAGGAATTTGGATGATGCATGGCCTAGAGTTCAAGTTCAAATTCAAGTGGGAGTTCCAGTTCGATGTCCAATATTCAAGGTGACCCCGCTCTCCCACCCCATAGGTATTTATCCTGGTCTTCCGCCTTACCTTCGTTATCTTCATTTGACGTTTTTGCTGCGCCGAAGACTGTTTCTCTTCTTGCATGGTTTGCAAATCTAGAGGCTACTATTCCGTGTTCTTTGCTAGATACTAGGTGGTTTATTGGATTTGATAAATGCGATTCGTGTGAGATGAATGAGTAGTTCTGTATATGAAGTCTAGATTTCCACTTTGATGTGGGATTGGAGATGGAGGTTGGAGAGTGAGAGTGAGAGATGGAGGGAAAAGAAGGAAACATGAGGGATATGGGAAGAGGAAGGCAAAATAGTGATGGTGTGGAAAGGCAGGAAAACAGGATTGAGGTGAGAGCGGTTCGCGACTTTCGTAAATTGCAAGTTTTCCCTGGTATTTTGAAGCAAGTTTGGAAAGTTTCGATGTTTGAGATGTGCCGTCGCAGATGAATGGGTTACCTAGTAATTAGATTAAGATTGGCTATTCTCCTTGCGGTATATCTATTGTTGAAGTCAAATTTCGGACTGAGCGTGCTGTTGATGAAGATGAAGAGAAATGGTGTTGTGATGATTATTGCCCGTGAAGAACTCTGAAGAGATGGGGGCTGAAGATATTGAGAGATGTGAAGGAAAGTACCTATGTATACTGACCAGAAAGTTGGATTCATATACAGTGAAAGAACGTGACTTGCTCCCATAATCATAATGTGCCCAGCTGACTCAAATCAACCTCACCTTGCAAAGGGTGAACTTCGGGAGTCGGATTTTGTTAATGCCGATACAGCATCTCTTACCACTTATTAATGTTCTCCCTTCTATCAAATTTACACATTGTAGAATCACAGACCACCTTTTACAATACAAAGTCCTTGAGACACAAAAGTTGTTATTGTGGTGTCAGATCATGCTCTTTCATGAAGTGTCAGGAATTCAGGTTTGAAGATTGTTTTTTGATCACTCTTGACTTGGAGATGGATTATTTGATGCTTTGTCTGAAGGATTGCTTCATATTATCAAGTGGAGCTATCACTTGAGGCAGTAACTGCTCAGTAGCCATACTTATACTTATTGAAGACAACGACCACGCCAACTTTTCGATATTTCGAATAAACACCTTGGATATTATCGAGGATGCGGTATTATACAAGCCACTTGGCCTTGCAAAGAAAGACCTCGACAAATGCCGAAGAAGGATTTGGGATACAAGTGTTATGGCTAGCGACTCTTCCCTCTTGAGAGTCAACTAGTTGGGTGGAGTGAAAGATAGGAGAAGGTGAAAGATGAAGGGGATATGCTCGATTAGTATTTGAGAACCGCGCTTCACCTTCCTTCCACATGGCGGGTTATGTTATGCCCTTGGCTTGTTTCACGCGCACTTGCAGTGTATACTGTGGGAAAGAAGACATGAGGATATGCTAGCGCATTATCAGATTTTTCGTCTGAATTCCTGGTTGTTTGGACTTTGATGGTTGAGGATGGGCTGCGGAAGTGGTTTGTGTGGTGATATCATGTGGGATCGCAAGAGACTACTCAGCGTCACCATCACTACTACTACTACTACTACTACCAAGAGGTGTTCTCTCAAGGTTGTCAAGACACAGCGCATTGAGTCCCTAGACTGTCTGTCAAAAGTATCTTTTTCTCATCAGAGATCCTGATTTAACACCAAGAGAGACTTACCCAGAAGCTTTCCGCTGTTGCGGTGTACTCTCCAGGTTTCCGGCTCTTGTCTTCAGAACAAAGCTGGCCAAACTCACTGGGTATCTAAGATGAAGCCGAAGGGCGATGTGTGGACTCTCTTTCCCTTTGTTCATATATAAAGAATTTTCTTAGTATACTTACTACACTCTACGAACTTGTCCCTAGGAAAGTCTGCTTGATCCGGAAATTGATGGATCTCAGGAATCATGATCATCGTGCAACTTACATCAGACTTCGATGCTTTGAAGTGGTGCTTATATTTATTAATTCTGTGGAAAGTAGCCACGAGTTTGCACCAAAGGTTATGGATGAGAGATATTGTCTTTACATTATTTGAATATCCAGTCCTTTCCTCCAAGGCAAGGCATCAATTTGTACTAGCAGCCATCTTACATTGAAATTCTTCTCAAAATAGCCAACACATTTTATCCAAATTTTCCAGTGCAGATAGACCTTGTGGAGCTTCGTATTCTCTTACAATAATGTTCTCCTTGGCAACCAGTTTACCCTTGTGCGAATTCCTTTTATTCTCAAGATACTTGGCAAGGTTATCCCAGAAAAGTTCGCACTCTCCTAGCGACTCGAGAGCCACGGTTCTAGGCAATGGAAGCCGGTCGTCTGTGGCACAGGCACTTGTGAAGACCAGCCTGTCAAGGCTTTCAAATCTACTCAAGAAGCTGTTCTTATACACACGCGGGAGAAACCATGAAATATCCGACGTGACAACTGGCAAGCTTGTAACGACGTCTCGCACGTCTAATGATCTAACACCTTTTAGACCGACGCCTTTCAAGGCACCTCTCTTCTTAAGCGCTTCATCAACTTTCTCATACCAGTCGTTGCGAACTCTTTCTGAATTGTATTCTTCTATGAAGTCGTAAGTGATACACAGCGTATCTACTTCTGGGTTAAAGCAGAATGGCTTTGTATATACAGCCCTACTATCTTCACCATGTCGATCAACTATAGTGTAGTGCTCCATCGTTACTTTACGGCTGATCATGCAAATCGCCAACGTGATTGGTAGCCCAGTACGTCGCTCGTCAAGTTTTATTTGATTCGGGCACATGGCATAATCTATAAATGCTGCTCGACCAGCAGGAAACGAATGTTTCCAGACCATTATTTGAAGTTCGAGAGGAAGGTCCGAGAAAAGCTTGGAAGTGCGATACTTGAAAGCGGCTGGTCGACTTGGTGCCATTCTAGAGTCATGATTACATGAGCTTCCTCCTTGGTTAGTAAAGGCAGGTTGAATCGGACTTGTATTAAGAGGTGGGTTGAAAATTGCCTGATTGATTGGGTGTCATTCTAGAGTCGCAATAGAATGAACCTCCTCGTTGGTCATCAAAGGCAAGTTGATTCGAACCTGTATTCAGTGGTTGGTTGGCATGTAGAGAAGCTGGCGATGCGAACATTGGAGATGCGTAGTCATCTGTGTCATTGTTAGTACTCTTTTGGTACGTTGGGTTTACTTTTCATTTATGTACTGAAGAAACAATTACCTGTGTATTTATTGGAGCCAGCCTGCATACGTGCATTGCCATGAGCAAACCCAAAGCTGTTACTAAGATGTGGCGGAAGGTTGCCGCAGCGTGCGGCCAGATATTGAGATCGATTGAGCCGGAAGTTAGAAGGTGCTGTATCGCCGGTTTCAAGTTGATTATATTCTTCTGCCATCAAACCCATCTGAACTTCATTCGGAAAGTAATAAGATGGCGGCGCACTTTGTTGTTGTTGACCATCTATTACGTTAGCACGTTCTGTATATTGTCACTGTATAAGGTTGTCAACTTACCAACTTCGTTTGGTCCACCAAACTCATCATCAGCTGTTTCCGCACCAGGCATTGTTGAGTTCTGATTATCAGGTGGCCATGGAAGTGAGTTGAATCCGTCCATCTTGCTTGTCAAGTTATCCTTATGTTGTTGTATGAAGAGATCTAAATGGGAATTTTGTTATGTTTTCGATTGTATATTAGAATTCATTTGTGTTGGAGGGATTTCTCGAGAGACCTTGTTTACGCGGGGTATCACATGATGATGAAATAACAGAGCCCAGGGTGAATATTGGATTTTGTGAACTAAGCTGTATTCCAATTTCGTTTGTATTTTGGTTATCGGTTATTGGCTATGCAGGGGTTTGTGAAGAGAAATGGGAGATCATTGGCTGTAGGGTCTATTTCAAGGACTGTGTGAGGTTAGGGCTTGTAAGTGCAAGATTGAGTTATTTCGTATAGTTCCCACTAGCTTCTACGTTATGAATCTCGATATACAGTCTTTCACAGGAGAACTTTTGGTGTAAAAAGTACCTATAGTAGTGTGCTATGAAGTCCGGTCTAGTGGAATGGTTGCAGAGTTTCAAAAGATTGTGTATATGCACATTATTATCGACGTGAACACAAGATTTTGCATGCATTTATGAAATTGAAGACTTCTAATTGTCTAGTCGTAAACTGAACTATGGAAACCCGAAGAAAAAGTGATTGTCTCGATTACTTTCTCCTCCAATTTCATATCTGCTGCGCTCACCAGGCTTTAAGTCTGATAGCGGCTCGTGAAAACAAGGCATATCTAGTTCCACCTTCTCAAACATAACCAGTCCTTTCCTTGTACTTTTTCTTGCTCTCCAAGTACTGTATTCTTCTCTAGGGAAGCCTTACTTCGTCTGACTCCGTTGTTTTGTCGAGATGACCCCCAATTGTATACCACGAGAAGCGCCTCTTCTTCATCAAAAGAATGATAATTCCTCGAGTCATGCAAAATGCTAGTCAACGGAGCTTACTTTCAGAGTATCTAGACAACCAAGAGTTTGTGGTAAAGCCCATTGAAGTAATCCTCCGAGATGGCGAGCACATCATGTAGACCAAAGCAGAGAGATCTTGATTGTGTATGTGTTTCCCCTATAGTTACCAGAGAATTGTGAAAATGATACATAATTTTAATCTACTGATTCAACGCTGGTATCTGATTCATCCCCTGCCTCAGCGTCTTGAGATGCAGAGTTCTTTGGATCATTCTGTGCTTCAACATCTTGAGATGCCGACTCCTCCAACAATTGAGAAGCGCTGTTGGCGATTGCAGACAGTAATTTCTGCGTCTTCGCTGGCTTTCTACGACGAATAGACTTATTTACCTCGGTTTGCGGACTGCGAAGAATCCTTTCGAGTATCAGATTTCTGATTCATGGCGGGATGTTCTGAAATAGTTAGAAATCTTCAATTCTATCATCTTAAAGGGGATCAAAACTTACTGAGCGGAGTGGAAGCCCGAGAAGTTTCCATCTGTAGTTGATGGGCGTTGGATGCCAATGTGCCTGGTATATTTGGTGAGAAATCCATAGCGGATCGAGTATCGGCTTCTTCGGAGTCGAGGGCTGCTCCCGTTTCTTCAACATTCGAGGTAGCCGTCGGGTTGCTATCAAGCTGGAGTAGTTGTCTAGAACTAGCATATTGTGGAGAGAAAGGGCCAGAATTGATTGCGTTGAATGGTTGAGCAGCATCTGGAATTTAGTCAAAAGGCTGCACCAGTGGTGAAACAGTACTCAGCTTACCAGACAGGATTCGATCCTCTGAAGTATCCATTTGATCGCCATCCGAAGCAGGCATATCGCCTTGTTCGTTGCGGACTGTGTGCTCGTTTTGTGTCATATTGCTTGAAACATTGGGGACATCTAAGTCTTGATCGTTGTGGACTGTATGCTGATTTGATAGCATATTGCTCAGAACATTAGCGGCATGTAAGTCTTGTTCGCTGTGGACTATATGCTGGTTTGGTGGCATATCACCAGGAACAATAGGAACATCCGAGCCTTGTTCGTTGTGGACTATATGCTGATTTGATGGTATATTTTCTGGAACATTAGGACACCCAAGCCTTGTTCGTTGCTGTATGTATACTGATTTGGTAGCATATTACCTGGAACATTAAGGACACCCAAGCCTGTGTTTACTGGCCCTGGAGCTCTCTGATCACTAGCATAACCAGAAGGTGTATGAGGTAAAGGGCTTTGCGTAACTCGGACTGTATATTGATTTGACGCCACTTCGGAAGGTGTAGTGAGAGGATGTGAAGGTGTAGTGAAAGAGCCATCTCCATCATCTTCATCATCTTCATCATCAGACATTTCATGATATTCTGCGTTATGGCGAGAATTGTCTCGCTCTAGGATGGCGTTTTGAGGAATCGTATAAGGAAGAGGATTGGTTGGCATGCGGCTTCCGGAGCTTTGAACGGCTTGTTGTGTCGAAACCATATTATTATTGTATAGCATATGGTCGTTACGTTGAACGTCCTGGTGCTGAGGAATATTCCAGGAAATGTTATTGCCGTGATTGGTATAATGTGTAGGAACTGTGTTGTTCTCCGAAGCTTGACCAATGATACCTCCTTGATAGTTATTCATTGGATTCATCATACCTGTAGTCATACCCCTTTGATGAGCTCTCTGACCCTGGGGTTGTGAACCGCCGTAATACTGTTGGGAGTAATAGTGATTTACTCTATTCATCATAGATGTAGCCACATCCGCTTCATTAGCTGGGAGGAAAAGTTATTCATAAACATTGTGTTGACTAAATAGTTGTTCACTGTTGTATCATCATTAGAAAGCTCTGAAGATGGAGGAGAGGTAATCATCTTACAATTTGAAATGCGCTCGAGTTGGATGGATGTTCTACACGATTATTCCCATTATGAATGCCTTGGTGTGCATCATCTCCCAAGTGGATGGATGTTCTACATCATTATTTCCGTAACCTTGGTGTGCATTATTTCCCAAGTTGGATGGGTATTCTATACCATTATTTCTATAACTTTGGTGTGCATTGTTTTCCCGAGTTGAATGGGTATTCTAAACGATTGTTTCCATAACCTTGGCGCGCATTATTTCCCAAGTTGGATGGGTATTCTAGACGATTGTTTTCATAACCTTGGTGTATATTATTTTCCAAGTTGGATGGGTATTCTACACCATTATTTCCATAATCCTGGTATGTATTATTTCCCAAGTTGGATGGGTATTCTAAACGATTGTTTCCATAATCTTGGTGTGCATTATCTCCGAGTTTGGAAACGGTGATAACTCGTAGATGTTGTGGAGAAGACGCTCGTTACGCTGTCGAATTTGACCAAGCATGTTGTGATAGCTGGCTAGTTGACCTAGCATGGCATTCGAATTTTCTTGGTGTGGTTGTTGATTATTTCCTGCTTTGTTGATTAGCATGCATTCATTGTGTTTATACTATGAACGTGTCGTCTTACCAGTGAAACCTGCACCGGTCTGCGCACCTTCTTGAAACACATCATGTGGGGCTCCTGTAACAGAGCCAATTGAAGGGCTTCTTAAATATACTCCGTCGTCCAGGGCATATTGAATTCCAGAAGGTGGACTATCGGGCACATTGTTGGATGGTGAAATGGGTTGATTATTGAACTCGCCGGTACCCGCCATCCAGCGATGAATGCGATCTGGGGATCTGATCAGAGTGCGAGTGTCTAGTGGCTGTGGCTGTGGTTCTTTGGGCGGAGAAGCCATGTTGAATGTCGATAGATATTGGTGTTTGGTGTCGAGATTGATTTGATGTTGTGTTGTATTGTATTGTATGAAGTTCTTTTATTTTTGATTATCACCGTTGTTCTTTTGCGGAAGATTGCACATACGAAATGCCACGAATTTGCGGATATGAGTTAGTGTTTGTTTATACAGTCGCGTATTTACCTCGTTTCAATAAATTAGTTAGGGTAGATAGAATTTAGATAAGCTATGTTCAACACGCTAGTGAAGGGCTGATGTCATGGAATTAGGGCTAGATGGGCTATTAAGATGGTGGTCAATGCTAGGAAGTTTTATTGTGTGCTAGTAATCTGAAAGGAAAACTAGACAGGGAAGGACTTTTTGGAAAAGCGATACGGCTTCATGTTGTTCAAGATGATATGGGACAATCTAGGTGTCATGAAGAGATTTACAATTCTTTAGTCAATTCCTTTTTAGATGATGGTCCAAAAGATTTTGACTAATTTTCACTCTAAATTAGCGTGGCTTTTTAGTGAGCAACCATTTCCGGAACGCTAGTCAAATAATAAAGCTAATACATTGTAAACAATCCTTTTACTATATACATCGCCAGATAACCGCTATGTGAGACAGCACACATAATTTTATCACCTGCCTTATCTCATTGAAGAAGTAATTAACAATTTCTTTCCTTCTTCATTTTCCATTTCCTATTCTTCTCTTCATTCTCCCCATTTATTCACTGCGGAGAGGGGACGAACGATACTCTTTACTCTCTCTTGGACTACTCTTCCTCGGGCATCAAGGAGTCCTAATAATTGTTTAACACTAGCACAACAAAAAGAGCCAAAGGATCAAATAGTAGCATATAGACATAACTCAGCTAGTAATACGGAGGTGCGCTTTTTATGAGTACTTCTCAAGTCCTTATATTTAGAAATGACACTGTGGATATAGAAAGAAAACTCCTGATGATCTCCGCTTCCTCTCTCTTGAATCATGTGATCAATTATTGTGAGTGAGCCCACACCCCTATTATTTTAAAGTCCTTAGATACAAAAATGAATTCCCTTATAGTACTAGATCCTCTCTATCTGTTTTTTGGCCTATCCCCCTCATTTTCAAAACTCTACAATTATCCCAACTTGTATCATACAGTCACTCTCAAATCCCCATATTCATATCAGCATACAATAAAATCCTACCACATAGCCATAAATCACATCACCCCATCATCTCATACCCTACACCACACAAAGCCCTTCCACAATCCACAAAAATCACAGCACGAAGTACTCTAATTCCCGCAGATTCTAGAATATCAAAATCGAGATAAGCACGCAAATTTTATCGGAACCGTAGCATATCCCTCCGTTGCTCTCATATGATATACGCCTCTTTCTCCTCCCCTCCCCTCCCCCATTTCCCCTTTCCCCAGATGAATCCAAATCATAAAAGTATCTCTTCCCCATTAGAACAACCATTCTCCCCCCTCCTTTCTCCTTTCCCTCACTCAACAATAGAAATATCTCCATTCCCACACCAATCCCCCCTCCCCCTCCCCTTCCACTACAAACAACAGCATTTCCCCCAACCAACACACAAATCAGCACAGCACTACCTAAATAACCATCAAACATTCCCAAAAGACAACATATATGCTATTAAAACCTATCTCACTAAAATTAGATATTCAATATCACCAGCCAGTGGGTGCACAGACTCACGGGACAACGTAACAGGAAAGCACAATTTCATATCAAAAAAAGTGATTTTAATAATTCGATTAAAATTCAATTTATTATCAGACTCTTTGGAAATTAGAATATATAGCTTTTCAAGAATAAAAGAATTATTAATTTAAGAATAATCCAAATAAATTAAGATTTGAGCTCAATAAACAAATAATACATTTTCTCATCAAAATTTTAAATGGAAAATAATATATTCTTTTATAAGAATATCAATATAAACTTTATCAATTTAAATTCGAGATTATATAAAATGTTCACACTTTAAATCTATAATTGTAGGTTTCAAATAAATCTATCGAAATTCTAAATCTTAATTGAATTTCTAAATCTTAATTGAATTATCAAAACAGCTCTTTTTGGTGTGAAATTGTGCTTTCACTCTTCAGTGTCCCGTGAGTCCGTGCACCCACTGGTGTATCCATTACTTTGATATCAGATATCACTAACAATATATCAATACGCGCCACAGTTTTACTAGTGTATACTATTACCTATACTGATCCCTTTCAATAAACCATTAAAAAAAGAACCAACTTAAACATATAGCCCCTCTCTTTCAATCAACAACCCCCTCCCCTTCCCCACCTCATCTCATCTCATCAAATCCACCTCCACCTCCGTCGCCAAACAACCCAGAGACTCAGGTACCTATTGGGCGACGGAAGGGAAGCACCGAGACAATGAACAATAAATCTGAATTGATGATCATCAAAATCTTGCTCGCTAGACATCACACATGCAGCGGTCACATCATCGCCTTTGGTCTCCCATTCATAACTTCAGAAGCTCAAGACTCCCAAGAAATACCTACTATGCACAGCTCACAACCCAAAATTCACATGCAAAGCCATTTTTCTTTTTTTCTAACTCATTGCAATTCATCTAAAGAAGATCGCGGGTATCTACTAGACCAGATTGAACCAAGCCAATCATTGTACAATACAATGTAGCCAACTATCTATCTACCTTCTCCAATCCCCCCTAGTAATACCAAACCAAATCTTCTCTCAACTCCTCATCTATGCAAGACTGCAATTAGATTCAGTCCAATAAAATCATGTACTTTAGCCTAGACGCATCTATTGCGCTGGTATATCCGCCAAGATGCGGATGGATATTCTATCCTTCACACCTTGTTTCAAACCTGATCACTCCATATTTATAACTTTGCATCCAACTCCTCAAACTCACTAATATGCTTGACCGGTTGTGGTCCAGCAGTAACTTGCAACATACCCTTGAATTGTCGTACATCCGTGATGACATATGGTACAGTACCATTGCCTTCAGCTTTGACGGCAATAGCTTCTCCATCTTCAGCATCTTTACGATCCTTATTGATCGCAAGAACAGTTTGTTCCTCTGGTTTTGCTTCTGGCAAAGAGGTTCCTTGAGCAATGAGGTGAATGGAGAGTTTAGAACGAAGTGGAGAGGATGGTAAGATGAATTGATTATAGAATTGGATCATATCTTCTTTGGTGAGTGCTTTGACATTGGCGGCATCATGATGGACTTTGGAAGGGGTCAGTTATTTTAAGTCAATAGTGTATACGGAATAACTTACCAAGCTCAAAATCAAAGTACTCATAATCAATATGAGACCATAAACGATTTGATTCTTGATCCAAATTCTTCAATTTCTCCAATCTCTTGGTAATCAAACTTCTCTTGTGTCCTTCAAATTCGGAATCTGACATATTCTTGAGGATTTCTGAGTATCCAAGCAAGAAAGAATCGATTCGCCCTTCAAGATATTGTGGAGTTTTCTCACTTTGGATGATAAATCTATAAGCGATGGTAGTAGTAGTTGTCGAACAACCACTGAATACAACATATCCCAACTGCTCCTTTGTTCTTAATTGATCAAATGCTGGTTCATGAGTCATTTGATCGAGGAGAAGAGTCTTGGCTCGTTGAGGACGAACAGCCTTATCTCCAACAGATAGGACATATTCTATACAGTGGTTGACATTGGCTGGATCTTTCAAAGTCTTATGATAAACGAAATTGGCACCAGGTGGGAAGACCAAAGATCTACCTATTGGCCATTGAGTTTGTGGTAAGACTCTGGGCTTCAAAATACTTTCAGTTAAATCAGCCAATTTCAAAGCATCCTCCTTGTACAAGTTTCCATGTACAAAAGTTTCCATGTGCATCTGTCTTAATAGATGGGGGTAAAATTGTTGAATGTCATCCACAGTAACATGTGGTAATTCGGCTAGATATTGCTCATTGATGTAACCTTTTTCGCTACTGAGCCATCTCATATAATCACCGACTTGATTGTAAGGTTGTTGAAAGTCCCAGTTCTTCAAACCTCTTGCCAATCTCTCCTTGATAATTTCGAATCGATCTTGTTTGACTTCAAGATCTCTCATGGTAGTCAAGACCTTCTCCAAAAGAACAGAGAGTTTATCATTGTATCCGGAAACGCTAATCTCCAAACCCATTGAATGACTTGATACAGAGTATTCGAGTCCTGCAAGCTCAGCATCATAGGCGTATTCCTCTAATGCATCATAAACCAAATCGGTATACATTCTTGCTTTGAGAGAATTTTCTGCAGTGGCCATTGGTAAAGGATTTCTACACTGGATGAAAAAATTTGCTTTTGGAACCCAGAAAGTATCATCTAAATAGCGAATTAGCCATAAGGTTTTTGTATCAAAAGGGAAATTACTGACCTTTCTTGAACCATGTTCTTACAGAGTCATCATTTCTGATCAACTTGGGAGATATGGCGGGTGTTTTAACTTCCTTCTTTTCGACCTCGAGTTTAGTTGGAATGAATTGATTTACATGGGGTAAATGTAATTCTGGGAAACGTTCTCCTTTCTTACTCGTAGCAGCCTTTTTGATTTCTTCCAAGAAGTCCGCTGGAATTTTCTCATATTTGTATTCTGTACCATACCACTTCTCTTTTGAATCCCAACCACCTGGGAAAGTTTGAGAAGAGATTTGCATACGGAAATTGTCAGCTCTCAAGCAATTGAGTCCAGCAGATATTTTTTCTCCATCAAACTTTCGTAGTCTGCTATGGCCACTGAGTAACCATTCTCGAGGTAATGGTGTCTGCATGACAGCACTGATTTTGCTAGTAAATCTGCTAGCTGGAGTCTTTTGCTTGAATTTGAAATCGACATCGGCCAAACCCTTTTGCTCATCAAAAATCCATTCTTGTGGTGGGCTATCTTTGAGTAATGCGATATATTGGAAGAAAACCTTGACAACTTCCTTGTAGTTCTTGAGACCGTCTTCTGTCAGACGTATTTGACAACTGAACAAACCAGGAGTTCCAGGACATATTGCATAGACACCTAAAAAGAATTAGTATAAATTGGAGTTTTTGAACGGGACAAGATTTGCAAAAAATCCGCTGAATGGAATCAAATAAAGTAAAACTTACCTGCACTTAAAGCATTTGCCCACCCCTTAGACTTGATATAAGCCATAATACTACCTGGTCCTTCATGTCCAATAAGATGTGTCAAGTATCGACTTGGTTGAGATTCGAAAAGAAGTTCCTCATCAATGAATGGAATGGTAATGTCCAAAGTTCGAGAATCCATAACTGGTTTAGCAAAACATTGGGTCGAAAGTTGGTCTGGTCCATAAGGCTTTTCATCCTCCCATCGATTTTGTGGCAAATCCTTATTTCGTACACCGGCGAAAAGATCTGCCGCCCATGATTCCAACTTATCCAATGGCTCTCTCCCCAGTATGACAAGCTTCATGCGATTTGCAGAATAATGCTTCTCGTGGAATTCCATAAACTTTTCCCGCACATTGATTCCCCGCGATTCTGGCTGTATTTTTAAAACCTCCAAATTTCCCGTCGAGAAGTGGCAATAAGGATGTTTAGGATTTGATAGTGATTTGTCCAATTGATGTAATCTCCATTGATCACTCTGTAAGTTCTTCTTGTTCTCCGAATCCACAGCCTTTAATTCTCTGTCCAAAGTCGAGTCGAGGAAAAGAGGATCTATGAAGAATTGCGCGAATCGATCGAGAGCACCATACAAAGGCGAAGGGATCGAATCTTTTGCGTCTCCATCCTCCCCCGATTTCGCAGCAACCTCAAAATAATAATTTGTAGATGTGGCACCGGTATATGCATTGGAACTTCCAGAATGTGAGGAGAGGTATTGTGAATAAGCATTTTCAACAGGGTACTATTCAAATTGTTAGAATTGTGATCAATTAATGTGGAAGATGTGCGAAAGTGCGCCACCTCTCCAGACAAAGGGTATACAATACCTTTTTAGTTCCCATGAAAAGTAGATGCTAGAAAGGAATTACATGTCAGCTTAATCTCTCATAGCATTGAGATAATCATATTTACCTCTACAGCATGCGCCATACCAGGGAAATCTTCAGGATCACTGAAATTCCCCACATTGACGTCCATAGCTGCTGATGCTTTATCTGTTTCAGCATCATGAACGAGGAGAACCTCTAGCTGGTTGGGAAGCTTAATGACTCGATAAGAACGATCATCTAAGCTGGGCGTTTCAAGTCGATCGGTGAGTCTCTCAACAAGTCTATGATGTACTCTCTGTTCTCTCAAAGGACTGTCGGGAGCGATTGGGCTCTTTGGTTGTGTTAAATTCGACATATTTGCTGTGAGGGTCGAAGAGGCCCTGGAAAAGAATGACGGAGATTTTAGGGATTGTAAAGAAGGGAAATTGGTATTTCGAAGTCTCAACTTCTGGTGATAACTTGCAAAAGGTGAATGAGAATACTGGTGTTGTTTAACCCCGCCAAGGTTGATCTTGGATTTCGAACCAGTGAATGATGGATATGGGTCCAAGGTCTGTGCGAAGGTTGATAGGAAGACAGGTTTCCGTGCTTGACCGTTTATCAAGGTGTTGAAGTGAAAGGAGTGAAGGTATCGATTGTGACTTGAAAATGTTGGTTGTGGTCGCAGATGTTTTATAGAGCAAAGGATCGTTGGTCTTTGTGACAATGGAGGAAGAAGGATTTGTTGTCTATGTAATATAATTGGGTTCGTTGGTCTAGATAATCGCTGTCGAATTGAGCATTGGGCGGTTCCAGAACAGGTCATTCAGCCAGCCAGGCAAGTAAGACGCGTGGTTGATTTGCCTTTGATTGTATGGAGGAGGGAGGATGGCAAGTTGATGGGAGGCAATTGGGATTGTGGACGATTTTTGGGAGGATGAATCTCGAAAGAGATTGAGATGCAGGTAGGAGAGAAGAGAAAGGAAGTTATGTAGGACCCTTTGAACCCTGATGGCGAAACTATATAATGTCAAGGATAAAGTAAGGGACCTTGGTAAAAGTTGAATGATAAAGAAGCGAGAAAGTGGAAGATCTCCAGCTGACTGAGTCTTTGATGTATGGAGGTATGTTAGTTTACCTACCTAGTGAACCTTACAACCGGTGAACCTATCGGAAAATGATTATGTAAATCGTAAAACATTCAAAAACATGACGATATATTTGCTCTCAACAAACGGGATCAACGGATTGGATTTACACGATATGGAGCGATAAGATATAAATATATAAGAGAATATATACCGGGAATGGAAGTAGAAAGGGTCTGTTTGTGTAGGATGGTGTAAAATTGCAGGAATAGTATTCAACAAATATAAGATCTTACATCGACAAATCTCTTCTAACCCCTTTGACTCTTTGGATTTCTCTTCAATCGGAATAACTTCCTTCTTTGTACGATTCGTGTAATTCGTGTGATACCCTTCTAATATCTATTTGAGTCTCTCTCTCTGGTGTGTGCCGTTTCAATTGTCTCAATTTCGTGATTCCTCTCACCACTCGTGCAATACAACCCATCCAATGGTCTTACCATGACACAACAACGTCAGCAATTCCCTGGTTTGAATGGGGATCGTGGTTCGCCATTCAGTCATTTGTGTTGAAGCCATTGCCAGCCCCATCAACTATTCGCATCAGCGATCAATCTCAGCCATGGGAGAATCAATAAGTCAATCAGTAGGACCGGCGACATCAGCTACACCGGCATTAGCAACATCACCGTCCGCATCACCATCACCCAAAACATCGATAATATGGCGGTGTCCGGTGGCGGTGAATATCGCTAGGGGGAATGAGGGAGAATAAATCCATTCATGGGTCAATCTATTCCCTTTTGATGCGACTACTGATTGGACCCTGGGATCTTTGGCCGCCTCGTCCAAAACCTTCTTCAGATCCTTGTTCTCATCAATTTGCCTTATTCGCCTTCTTTTCCCCTCCATGCATCAGATCCGTTGAACCCCTCATTCCTCGTTTACATTGGAGATAAAAAGTCCGATTTGATATGATTCCCTGCCATTCCTAGGTAGGTAGGCGAGTGTATGGACTCAACAACACCTCGGTATTTGAGGACATCTATCACATCAAATTCTGATTATACGATATGATATGACATGATACGAGGTAAAATCTCTGTAATTTCCATTTAGATTTAGTGCAGCCATAAAAGATACATACCTGGATACATGTAGACCTGGGTCTCTGGTAAAGATCTCCTCGTCCTTTTTCACTCAACCAAATATATCAGCAAATGGTAATGTCGTACGCGGTTGAACGACGATACTGTACTGTACCACTTTGACATATCAAATAGGAATGCTGCCACCAACCCGGTTTATGGATTCTCAATCAGCAAATATACTATAGAATCCAATCCAATAATACCATGACTCTACTATCATCGTCACACACAATCGTTCAAATCCCCATTCTCATCAATAGACCGACTTTCTGTCCTCGTTCAATCTGCCATTCACCGAACATGATTCCTCATCCCATATATCCCCAAGTAGGTATCCAGATGACATCGAGTCCATCATGTCGTGTAACCAAAAGAGACATGGCAACCTGCATGAACAGCACTAAAAAGGCAAACCTACCGCGGTATATCATGTATGCAACATACCGAAACTACACCCATGATTTAACACCCTTGGGACCTATCAAACCACCAGGTCAAGCTGCCGGTAAAATACGGTTGCATTTAACAAACGAACATAATATATTTGGCAAATTGGAATTTTCAGTAAATAACGAATCATTCATCTTCTTCACTGCATCTTTTTCAATACATTGTTGTCTGTACATGCATAGGTAGGTAGTATATTTATTGATCACAAAACGAAAGTTTGAAGAAAAACTTTATACATCCATTTGACGAAGGAGAACAAGTGTACAGCATACAAACCAATTATACTACCTAGGCTGATTTCTGCAGTTCAACGTCCACCAGATTTACTTTTTCCTTCGTCCACCCTGACCATGTACCGCCTCAAGTTTCTGACTCGTCCTCCTCATGTCAAGTACCTTTTCTTCTTTCATATAATCAGCCCATTCCCACGAATCCTCCTCGCACGAGATCCACAAGATGCCGGAGTCAAATTCCTTTCTATTTACGGAAGATGAAATCCGCACATGATCACATCAAAGATTCTAGTGCTTCCTTCCATCAATTTAAAGTTCGAGCCTACATCGGATCAAAAACGTGAGTACAAGATCTCTTCGTACCAGATACGACGGACGAGCTAAAAGGATTGGCGGGAGTAACCTTGTCATTTCGTTTACCAATAAAACTTCCGGTTTCAGATCTTCAAGTTGAAGAGATCGATCTCGGTACTATTTCCACCCATTGACATCTGGCAAACTCGAGGTGGGACATAGCCGAACCTAGATGGGATGATTTGGCAGACGGATATGTATCGGCATTGGTCACGCGAGTGTAATTAAACCTTTCTTCTTGTTCTTCGACATTACCCATGGAATATGGTGTAGTTACACTCTCATGACTCTGCACATTTGGGGATGACTATGTTGGTAAGCCAGTTTCTCGCCACCAACCTTCTTCTAGCGAATGAAGATAGTGATCATTCCCGATCACCTACATTTTGTATCCATCCTCAACGTTTAGTAAGAAGGCTGAGTAAATCAAAAATGCCTCGGTGACTATCATACTGCACTATTAGGTGTAGTAGTAAATGATGCCGATCGCGAACTACATTATATATCACGCATCCGAGGACCTAGGCACAAGTTGAAGTACAACCTCACATGTGAAGCGAGGCTCTTTCCAAAGTATATCTGTCAGGACAGGCACATGTCTAGATGATAGCCTTGGATATTACCGATTTCCAGACACGCTGCCACAATTACCCCTCCTTGATACGAGTAGCGATGAATCATGGCATATTACTTTCACTTGGTCCCTGGACTTCCGCTGAATATCGCTTCTTGCATAGCTAGATGGCTAGATATTTTTTCTGGGTCTTCCATATGAAGGTAGGTAAGTAGGTATTGAAGATCACCTCAGCATTGCGATCTTCATCACTCCACATGAGGGTACTTGTTGAGGTAGGTAGCTTGGGCAGGTAACTAATGCTCCATATTTACATCGCTTCTCCAAACTATGGAATCGGGATGAGTAGAGATGAACATGTCCGGCGTTGTGGAAAAGGTCGGTGACAACTGGGTCGGATGATTGTTCATCGAAGGCGACTCGGTAGTACCTAATCAAGACGACAGATTTATTCCCCTCAACCCAAGTCTCAGCTAGTCCTTTTCTAAACCCCCCTCCTCCATCTAAGAAACCCTCATCTCATCTCATCCCATCCCACCCCAATCCCCAATATCCCCCCATCCCACAGCCACAGCCATAACCTCAACCCACACATCTGACAAAACCGTCACAATGATCTCATATCTCATTTTATCTCTTCATGTAACATGTCACAACTATGAAACATAGTTTGTAATAAAACATGGAAATGGGTCGATTATTTTTGGGTGGTGCGGGGTCATGGGTTTATGTGTGGATTTGTGGTAGGTATTGTTTGGTACTTGATTTTGATAGGGACGGGGATGGGGATGGAGGGAGGGGGACGCGAGGAAACAAGAGGAAACATGAAGGGTACTATATTATACCACATCTCCATATATCTCGAACCATCTATCCAGACCAAACAGCACAACATTCTTTTCCAGAAAACCAGATCGTTTCGTTTCGGTTCGGTTTCAATATCCCTTCATTTCCCTTTCCCTTTCCACGCTCATCCCAATACATCCTTCCAAAACATGCTTCTCTCACCCAATCACCGCCTAACTCAACCCAACCATGCTTATCCATTCTCTATCTCTATTCCTATATCTTCAATACTCTCTCCCCAGATCCCTAACTTCTATTTCCTCTCATATCATATAATCTCATCCATATCCACACCCACATCCCCATTGACATTCCATCTAAATACCACACTACACCACACCACACTTACCACCACCAAATGAAAAATTCCCATCCTCGCCACTAATTTTCAAACTTTACCAGCACATAAATTCCTCACAGCTTCCTCACACCCAACACCACACCCCCAATCTCAACCCCTCATTCCTTACCCCTACCCTTAATCTCAGAATCCCCATTTCTTTTCGCCTCTTTTCTCCTCTTCCCGTTCTCCTCCCCCTCTTCCCTCAGTCCCCTCCCTCCCCCCTCATTCCTCTCTCTCTAGTCTCCAATATCTACCCTATATCACAGTATACCAAATCCAAATCCAAATCCAATAACCCCAAAAGCATACTCAGATTATAATCATAATTATAACCATACATATCATTTCGTCTTTTATATCTACCTACTACGTAGTCTCCTTCCCCTCCCCCTCCCTTAATCTCCTCACTCCATATCAATCCTCAACCCCCCCTCTCTCTCCACCATCCTAGAATTTCCTAACAAAATATCAGTACCTAGTCAACTACCTATTCACAGAGAGAGAGAAAAACCAGGTGAACATTTTGCGTTTCATCAAGTAATCTTATTACAACTGCCTAGATTCGAAATTTGCATTCGAAATTGTGTATTCATACTTTTGTAATCTTACTTTTGTACTCACTGATATGCATATCTCCACACTTCGTCAACATATCGAGCCTGGAATCGATACAAATGTCATGATACAATAGAACACACCATCAACTAACTCCCTGGAGCTGCGATGTACAGTATACAACGGGCGAGATATTCTATCTTCACGACATGAATCTCCAGTGTCCGCCATCCTATTGATTTACAATATCCTCATTTTCTCCCCGAAATATTTTCATGGAGATAATAGTCCTTCGTCCCATCTCTAGTCCATTGAGTATATTATCGTCATGTATTATCATTTTCTATACCCCATAGCCGTACAAATATATATCTGTTCATTTCGTAGACACCAATGCCATATTACCTGTAACCCTCCTCATTTACCGTCCAATCGGCATCAATGCTCCCGCCACACTTCCAACCCCTCGTTCCGTCGCCAGCAGGTTAAATTGCGCGGCTGCGTTCCTTGTATCTGCGATTTCTATTTGAATTCCTAGGCCATTGATGTATGCGCGGGTTTTGGGGGATATAGGTCGCATATCTTTTCCTAGGCCGAGGATTAAAAGATCTATTGGAGAAGGAGTATGTTAGTCCAGGAAGTTTAGTTTTTTATGGTAGAATAGTTGAGGGGAAGGAGAGGATACAAATAATAGGAAAGAAATAAAAACATACCAGGTCTAGGCCACACACACCTCAGCACACCCCACGCCTCATCCCCGCACTCAAATTGACCCTTCTTATTAACCAATTCCAACTCCTCCCCCTCCTTCGCACCCCCAACCCAAGGGCTTCCACCCAAACGCCTCACCCCCCACCAACAAAACCCCAGCCCCTCCCCTCCATTTCCCACCCTTAAAAACCCCATCACCACCCACCTTCACACCACTATTCAAATGAAACCCATCGCTCAAACACGCATCAATACTCGTACTCGGCATCGGCGTATTCCCTAATACATCTAGCACCGAAAAATCCGTCTGTGTAGTTTCCGAAGAAGGCGGACCACGATCGTGAGTCGCGGGAGGATGTGAATGGGAACGCGAAGAGGGAGAAGATGTTCGCACGGAGGTTGGTTTGATGGGAGGGGAAGGTTTGCTGGGGACGGATTGGGAGTAATGACGAGATTGGCAGATGGAGTAGGGTACGTGATATGAGATCTAAATGGATTTTGAATGCTTGAATCTTGGTGTCAAACTCTGGCAAGAACCCAGTCTCGTACTTGTGCAGGTTGAAATATTCGACCGCGGAGCGATAATTGCGTTTGCGATTTCGGGGATGGAGGGGCTGATTTTGCGGAGGCGAGACATGATGTTTTTGTTTCCGCGGAAGTGTTAATTGCTTGATTGAAGGGTTTTCGTACTATTCAGATTGAACTCAGTTGCGATATTATCGGTATTCGTGATTTGTTAGTTGCTTGAGTGAGAATGTAATGAGGTTGTACAGAGTATGGTGAAGAGTTCAGATGGGACTTTGAGCTTTGAAAAGATTGGCGAATCAAGAGCTCGGAAGTCATGAACGTCATCATTAAGCTCTGTTTTGCCGATATTCACCCCGCTCCACGCATCTATTGGGCATCTTCTGAGTACTACAAAAACACAAAGATCGATGATTATTCTTTTCCATATAAATGATTAGTCTTAGAAACTCCCTTTTTCACCGTTGCTACAAAGGAGGACAGGTATTCATGAGTTGATGAAATTTCTGGCATTCGAAAGACGACATGACATATGGAATCTAAACCCAATCTTCTTAATCTATCATGAAACCTTCATCTACCAAGCACCATATACCTCTACCCATTTTATCTTCCTTCTTCCCATCTTGCTTCTAGAATGAATCCGTCATAGCTCCGTGGCTCGCATCTCCCACAAGTCTAGCATATTTCGCCAATACACCTCTATTAACCGCACTCTTGGGAAGCTTCCAAGACTTGAGTCTTTCTGCAATTTCTTCATCTGATACATCCATACTTAAAGTATTGGATTCGGCAGATATGGTTACTATATCGCCATTTCTTATCACGGCGATGGGACCACCGACTGCTGCTTCGGGGACGACGCTTGAGTTATGTTAGTGAGCCATTCTGTTAACAGAAGATTGGTATTGAATGGATACTCTATGCTGAGTGAGGGGATATTATATGAGAAATAATAATACGTACTGCCCTACAATGAATCCGTGACTAGCACCAGAATATCGTCCATCGGTAACAAGAGCGACATTCGTGAGACCAGCACCCATGATTGCTGCACTAGCTTTCAATTGCTCGGGCATTCCACTATTAGAAGTTAGTTTCTAGAACAAGGAAAGGCACAACAACGTCTAGGGACATTCCCAATGCTGCGAAAGAAACTTACGGTCCTCCTTTAGGTCCTTCATATCTCACAATCAAGACGAGATTCTCTCCGTGCGGAATCTCACCCTTATTCAATGCATGATCAAGTTCATGCTCTTTATCAAAAACCATCGCCTTGCCAGTAAACACTAGACCTTCTTTCCCTGTGATCTTTGCCACTGCTCCACCAGGTGAAAGGTTTCCTCGAAGAATCTGTAAATGACCAGTCTGTTTGATTGGATTACTCAAAGGTCTAATGAGCGTCTGTTCTTGTGGTAGTGATGGCCAACTTTCAACATTTTCCCTCAAAGTTTTTCCTGTAACAGTCGGAATATCACCATTCATCAAGCCCGCAGCAACGAGAAGCTTAATAACGGCTGGTGTTCCACCAATATTGTAGAGGTCCTCCATACAGAATCTTCCGGAGGGTTGTAGATCTGCCAAAAATGGGATCTTATCGCTTACTCTTTGAATATCGTCAATGGAAAGTGGTACTTCGGCTGTACCAGCCATGGCGAGGAAATGAAGTGCAGCATTAGTACTTCCACCAAGTGCCATTGTAATTACCAAAGCATTCTCAAAAGATTCCTTGGTCAATAAGTCTCGTGGTCGAATGTTCTTTTCCATGCATATCTTAATTGCTTCTGCGGCTTTAACGCATTCTCTCATCTTAGCTGGCGAATCGGCTGGATTTGACGAAGATCCTGGGAGACAAAGTCCCATAGATTCGATGGCGGTAGACATCGTGTTGGCTGTATACATTCCACCACAAGCACCAGCACCAGGGCAAGCATTCTGTTCATAATCTTCCTACACAATCATTAATGAACGATCGGATCCTACAGATCTATCATGATCTTACCATAACGTCACTTGGAGTTGCACCCTCAACAGCCGCGTGAAGTTTATTATAAGTAAATGCAACCACTAAACACAAGCACTATATTAAATCTGGACTGCAAACATATATATCAATGGATATTTTCTTACCTTGCTTCATAACAACTGCTGATATTGATTTCTTTTTTCATCAACTTGGAATAACCCTTCTTAATTGAACCTAGAGAGAGTCAGGCTTATGAATTATATGGTGATCAACAAACTGACCTCCATAAATCATAACAAATGGTCTATTATGACGTGCAGCAGCCATGATAACCTGTCCCAATGTTAAAACAATAACTTATATATGAGGAATTGAATTCTGGTAGTGTGTCTCCACCAAAACATCAAGGAGCGCACTTACTCCAGGCATGTTTTTATCACAACCAGGAATTGAGATATTTGCATCATGGTGTTGGGCACATGTGACAGTCTCGATTGAATCTGCAATGATCTCACGTGTCTGTAAAGAGAATCTCATGCCTGCTAGGCGTCAATGAAAATCCCTCAAGATAAGAACGTTCTACAAACCTTCTCCGCCCATAGTGATGGCATCACTGACTCCCACAGTGTTAAATTGCCATCCGAGCATACCTTGCTTTTGTACTGAATCTTTGACTAGCTTTCCGAGGTCATGTACTACAAGCATTCGTTAAATCGTATGCCTTGAAAGATCTCCTTATCTTGTGTCACTTACGATGCATACTATAATACTATGTCAGCTAAATTCATTATCGTCTTTGTGGTCGATTGCATATCCAAAGATAGAGAACATACTTGCACGGATTTCCTTCCCACCATACAGTAGATATTCCAACATGAGGTGCAGTCTTCATCATTTCTCGATTTGGCACTCCTGCTGCGTACAACATTGCCTAGAAACAGATTCAGTATATGTAATGATTGACCATGCTTTATATATTCTTACCTGAGCTCCTGGAAAGTCATGGCCGTTTGTAATTGTATGAGACCATCGATTCAAGGCCAATTTTCCATCTATAACAGTACCATGTTCTAGAGATGGAAAGTCAATATACCTTGGCTTGTCTGGTATTTGTTCATAATTTGAGGGTTCCATAATGAACGAAAAGATAACCTGTGATATCTTTTCGGGGGAGTGTTGATGGATGAAAGTAAAAAAAGTGTTGATGCAATTGTCTATCAACGGGTGGGTATCTAGAAAGGGAACAGAAAGGGGAAAAAGAACAATCAATGAACGAAGAAAGACTCTAGGGAATGAAGTATTTTAAGTAGGAAGAATACAACCACAAGGTACTGCGGAGTATCCTTTTTGAATTGTGGGGCAGAGAGAAAAGTCTGATCTTTTGGTTCATCAGGTTTGACTACTTTCCAATTGCCGCAGTGACAACAGGACGTTATGCAATAATCTTCATACTTTGGCATTCCTGCCGTAGCGCGGGGGACACATTGATGGTTGAGCCAGTGCACATAATCGATTGATAATCAAATCAACGATGGCTCATCATACCAACTTGCCAAAGCTGTACCCCGCGGTGGATTCACCATACTAAAATAATTATGGATAGATCGTATCCGGGATTGGGCAGTTCAGGAATAAGGTACGACCGGATAACTCGGGATTGGAAGTGGGAAGTGGGATGAGGTGACTGAGTCGGGAGTTTGTTGAATCTTGAGAAGAGAGATTCTTTGGCCTGTATGATATTACGGCAATCACACAGGAGTAGATCAACATGAATGATAAAGTGGTAATGCTAAGAAGGAAAGGGGGTCGTGTGAGTTTGTACTTGATAGAAGGAGAGAACTACCTGTGATTTGTGAGGGGTTCAACAATTATCTCTTGTACCCCCACCAACATGCATCTAAATTAAACCGAGATACCGAATTTAGTTTTCCGGTGTTTTGATGAACGGATGCTTACCGTTGATTGTTCATTTGAAGTCGTTCTGATTGGTGGGACCGTTTGGTAGTGTTGTTGTCGAATTTGTGAATGGCAGGTTGAGCGAGCGAGCGGTACATGAGTTGAAAGTCCAACGTGCTACTCAATATGGCTCACAGTCATGCTACCAGAACGAATAGTACAATTAGACGTTGACTAATAGGGGACGCGAGAAATATGATATTTTTAGCATCTTAGGTACCTTTGTCGATATCAGAATCGACAAAACAGAGAGCCGCAAGCTCATAATGGCTTTGACGATAAAGACGCAGCCTCACAAGCTGTCATGGTTATCTTCTTTTTCATCTCGATGCTAAGCTTATCTGACGCCATATACGAGGCCGGAGCGGGATGACATGCATAAAAATAGATTCAAAGATCGCTTCAACGGCATCTAATTGAGGATCACAATGCCTACAATGTATCAAGTTCATCTCTAAGTTCTAGGCCAAATACCGCAATGGGGATTTCTGACTGATAAGGGTTCAATATCCAAACCAAATCTTGAGAAACCATGACCTTGGAGCGGAAAGCCTTGCGGAATTCTAGCGTAATGAGTTTGAGAGTACCGGTACAACGAGGGTGGGTGGTGCAAGAGACGAAAAAGACACGGCCGGATGTGAGGCTCATCAACGACGCCAATAATTCCGTACTGTTGTGGACTTCCAATAGATAGTGGAGTATTGAGGTATACATATGTCTAATTCACATGTACGTCCGAAGCAACCACATATGCATCAACATGAAGTGGTAGATGGTTGGTGTAGATTCATGAATGGCTGCATCTACGAGTATTGCTTCTTGCTTTCTTGCTTGATAAAGCCGACCGCCGACATTCTTTAGCGTACCATGGTCTGTGCACTACTCGGTACTTCTAGCCAGTCGAGCCAGTCTTTGAGCCAGTCGAACCAGTCCAGTCCTCCGAATTTTGAAATCTCGTCGTGTCAAGTAGTTCACATTTGAACATCCAATATTGATAATGACTTGCTATCAATGTATATAACTGCACACACACCTCGGATCCTGTGTCATTCTATTATAAGGCAATTACATCGAGTGGGTGTCATCTCCGCGCCCAAGCTTTGCGGCTGAAAAGAAGTACTCCTGGTAAAGAGTAAGCAAGCAATGGATTATTCAATAAGAGTCTCGTGCGACCTTATCGGCTGCCAACTTATGCACGTCTTTTCTTCCGAACAAATGGTTCGATGAGAGCCTTCCTTTTGCGGAGGCGACAGCAAAAGGCATTCGGGGGCAGTGTCTGCCTATGTGGTAAGCTGATAAAGAATGAGAGTGCAAGGCTGGAAAGTGGTCATGATCGGAACATCCCATAAACATTGTAAATTGATTCAAGAGATCGTTGATTTCGTTTGATTATCGTTGGTTTTGTTGGTTTTCTTGCCTTTACACTTTGACAGGCAATCATCAATTGTCAAAGGTATCATGTCTTGTACAGCATCTTCAAGCGATTCCGACAACAGTGATAGACGACGCCGACCAGGTCCAAGACCCCCACCTCCTCCTCCTCCTCCTCCTCCTCCGCCATTTCAAGGGAGCAATAATAAATCAAAGAAGAAAAATAAATACGTAGCTCCTCAAGATACGATCGATAAACTTTGGTCTCGATTCTCTGCATCCAGATTCAGTAAAGCTACAAAAGTTTTACCAAATGCAGCACCTTTTGCGAAAGGAACATCTGCAAAGACCGTTATTGTTCCTCCACCTGGCCCGCAGAATCAGCTCGTTTCAGAAGACTTCGAAAGAGCGGTTCAAGAATGCAGAGCCAAAGTTAAGAAACTTGTCAAAGAATGTAGGCGAGTTAATATGCGTTTTCGTGACGCAAGCTTTGATATAGACTGGGACTTGAAATGGGAGAAAGGAAATTGTCTGAATACACTTGATGAGATAAGATTTGAAGTTTGCAAACGCGCTCTTATCAATCCTTCATCCTCCGGGCCGAAGGCTGTCAAGAGAGTTCACGAAATATTTGATAAGCCAACTTTCTTAGGAGATAAGATTTCTCCTTCGGATGTCAGACAAGGAAGTCTTGGGGATTGTTGGTTGATGTCTAGTTTGACAGCATTGGCAAATACGAAAGACGGAATTCAAAGAATATGTGTTGAATGGGACACAAGTCAGTATTGAGCATTCGCATTCTAAAGTCAGGTCTAACCATGTCGTCTTAGAAATCGGGATATATGGTTTTGTGTTTCATCGTGGTAAGTTTCTCCCTCGAACAATAAGTAATAATCGCTAATGGAAATTAGATGGTGAATGGATCATATCAATTATCGATGACAAGCTCTATTTGAAATCGCCAGATTGGGATTCACCCTCAGTCCATAGACATCTACTCGAGCAAACCGACCGAGAGGACGTTGAAAAAGAATATCGAAAAACATATCAAACAGGGTCTCAGTCATTATTCTTTGCTCATTGTAAAGATCCAAATCAAACATGGCTTCCTCTTCTCGAAAAGGCTTATGCTAAAGCACATGGGGATTTCCTTTCTTTGAGTGGAGGATGGATAGGGTAATACTATCTCTATCATCTCATTTATCAACTAACTTTTCATAGGGAGGGTCTTGAAGATTTGACAGGAGGCGTAACTACGGAACTTCTCACTTCGGATATTCTTGATACTGATGAATTTTGGCATGACGAAATTCTCAATGTCAACAAAGAATTCCTTTTTGGTTGTTCTACAGGTCTTCTCGATTATGGTTACGGCAATAGAGACGGAATATCTGAAGGGCATGCATACGTTATCACGGAAGCTAGAGAGTTATCTACTGGCGAGCGTCTCCTCAAATTACGGTTTGTTTTTCACATAGTGTTGAGGATTATCACTGATAAATTTATGTGAAGGAATCCATGGGGAAAAATCAAAAAAGGTAATTGGGAAGGTCCGTGGTCAGATGGAAGTAAGGAATTCACCCCTGAAGCTCAGATAGAACTCAACCACAAATTCGGAAACGATAGTGTCTTCTGGATTTCATATCAGGATTTACTACGCAAATATCAACATTTCGATCGAACTCGGTTGTTCGTAGATAGTCCCGATTGGCGATTGACTCAAGAGTGGATCAGCGTAGAGGTACCATGGAGATCCGAGTTTGAACAGAAGTTCACTATAACACTCAAGGAGGAATCACCAATAGTTTTGGTTATGAGTCAACTCGACGGCAGGTATTTTGTTGGTTTACATGGTCAATATCACTTCAGATTGCAGTTTCGGGTTCACGAGATGAATTCACCTGGTGAAGAAGATTACATCATCCGAAGCCATGGGAATTACCTTATGAGCAGAAGTGTGGTCGCTGAACTGAAAAGTCTCTCCGCCGGAACATACACAGTATACATGATGGTCATAGCAGAAAGGGATAAAGGTCTACAGAGTGTTGAAGATGTCTTGAAAGATGAATTAAGTCGAAGAGAAGATAATGAGAAATTGGCTACAGTCGGGAATTCTTACGATTTGGCTCACCAGAAAGGACTATCTCACATGGATGCAAGAATTAAATTCATAAAGGCTCAAGATAAAGCAAAGGCCCGGGAGTCAAGGATTGCTAAACGCAAAGTTCTTTGGGAGAAAAGGCATAGTGCGCGAGAGATAGTAAGGAAGCAAAAGAAGAAGAATTATGAGAAGCGTGAAGGTAAGGCAGAAAGAGATGCCGAGTGGGCAAAGGAACAAGAAGAACGTGAGCCGAAGGATCAAGGTGTTCAAACGGAGGATATTCCAGAAGTTCAAGTCGAGAAACAAGACAAATCAATACAAACTGAAGATCCTAATGAGAATTCGATAAGTACTACAATTGACACGCAGCCCATAAATGAAAGGGACAAGGCAGTCCAGACAGAAGACTTTACACCATCTTCTAATGAGTCTCAGGCAACTCCTGTAACTCCAGAGAGTAATGGCTCATCTCCTCATTCACCGTACACGATGATTCCGGAACCTGGCACCAATCGCCGTGAATCACTACCTCCACCTCCAAGCTTTGTTAATCTTCGTAGACATTTGAGTCGTCCACCAAGCTATGGTCGAGGACCTCCTCACCCAAGACCAGGTCCATATGTTACTTCGGAGGGGGAATCAAGTGCAAGTCCTCTTTCAGATTATGATATGTATAGTGACGATGATCCGACCCTTAAGCCACGAAATCAGCCTAACGAGCCCAAACCGCCAAAGGAAAAGGAAGTTGATGAAGATGAACCAGAGCCATGGAATGCGGTGTGTATTGTTGGTTTCAGGGTGTATAGTAAGGATGAAGGATTGGTTCTTGATATTTGCGAAGAGGGTATGGAGAAAGAAGAGACTGAGTTGAAAGAGGAGAATGAAGCTGGGATTGATGGTGATGTGGAAGATGCTGAAGATGACAAAAACACCAAGAAGACGGGGAGAAATGGGAAAGATGAGAAGTTGAAAGATACTGCAACAGGAGACGACTCAACACCTTCCGATTTCGCAACCAAAATTGAACCTGATAAAGACTTAAATATCGCCATCTCTGATTCACACAACGTGGTTACTGGAACTTCTTCGTCAGTCAACAATGACGCTAAAGATAATCCTATCGAGAAGCAACCCCAAGTAGCCACTAAGAGCTTGAAAATAGAGAAAGACGGCGACACTCAGCAGAAATCAGTACTGGTGATCTCAGAGGATACGAAAGATGACATTGTGAAGGAATCAGACTCTCAATGCGACATTGCAACATCGAGCGATTCTTTAACTCCCACATAATGCTCACACTCATTTATTTTCAGGTAACATTCAGTGTGCGATTTATACTTCAAACCAGTCCATCATGAAAACAACATCTCGTTAATTGGAAGTCCTCATTTTGAGCATTCAAGCAATTCAGAAAGTCTAGGCAGACATCTCTCAGCTCTATCTTTAGCAGAATTTTCGAACCATAATTCTAGTAATTACGTTCTCATAACTCACGACAGTCTTAATAATATCTATAGGTAAATACAAGTATGTCGGTATCAATCTTTTCAATGGATATATTCAGAGACTCTTCAATCAATACTATTTTCATTAGCTCGTTCTCAAAACCGAACATGGTTATCCGACCGGGTAAAATTCAATTGGGCAACTTACGGGGTAATTCTGAAGTTCAATTTAGCTTGCACACCGTGGACAATTTTCTATCACCTTATGGGTCTGATCTTCAACTAGGTACTGCTGTGCCTCTTCACTTCCCTGTCACCCCAACATAAAGGCGCCAAAATATGCAGGTCGTTGATCAACAGACGAATCATAGTGATACAAACTCACGCAGTTTTATTGTCTTGGCGTAATATTACGACACTTCTAATCTTCACTAGTTTCCTTGTTTCATTTGATTAGGAGCCTCTTTTTTGCTTCGTCGTGCTTTATTTAATGTTTCTAGTCTGTACTTTCTTTACTGCAATTAATTCATTTATTATTGAACTCTATTATCACTCCCAACAAACCAGAATCAAGGCTACACGATAAACATGGTTCAATACAAAAATCTCATACTTTTCCTTACCGTAGGCATGTCGGCCGCTTTCGAGAATTCATTACCCCTTGCCCTTCGGCAAATTCGACCAACGCCTCATCCCAATGAAAACTACCTCTACCAGATGTGTTATCCCAATTTAGCGAATATCAGTCTTCTCATAGGTTCAAACGGCGCTGAAAAACGATTACAAATCATGGCCAATTCTCCTTTCCCTTGCGAGCGCAGTAACTATATCATCTACGCCTGTCTCGCCAATGGTACATCACCTATTGATTTTCTCGCCGAGCAAGAATGTATCTGTCCATCCTCATTGTGGGAACTCGAAACAGCTTGTACGGATTGTTATCTCGCGCATGGATATCAGAATATCACAAGAGAGGAAAGTGATGCGAGTATTTCAAGTTTGAGTCAGGCGGAATGTACGGCCACACCTGTGCAACCGTTTACGAACTTTTTCTCGAGCGTCGATGCGTCGCAAGCGTTGACGACGCCGGATGTGGTACTGGGATCGGATAGATTTCCAAACCAGACGGCGGTTAGCAGTGAGTGGGATTTTTCTTTGGTTTTGTGGATTTGATCACGGGACTTTTCTATAGCTTTGGGATGCTCATCCCCTAGTCCTGGAGCTTTTCTTTCCCGCGCTCACGTATTGACTTTTCATACCTACGCATAGATTACTATACTGGCAATACTGCTTGGACGATAGGAAGTATTACCGGAAGTGCAACGGCTCGATTAACGAGCTACACGGCAACAGAGTCTAGTAGATTTACTCCCACGAGTACTGGAGCTCCTTATTCGACGGGTATGAGTGGGAGTGCAAGTGAGAGTGCGCAGACTAGTACTAGTGGAGCGGGAGGATTGAAGAGTAAGATGAGTAGTCCGGGTGGTGTTTTTGGGTTAGGCGCGTTGCTCATGCAGTGTATGGCGGTGATTTTTACTGCTTGGATCGCTTCGTGTTAAATGGAGTGTATGGAGTGTATAGAGTGTTTTAGGAGGCGAGTCGGGAAGCATGGGGTAATTAGCTAGTTCTAGAGCTGCTTAAAAATTATCAGAGTTACAGTGTACGAAAGTATGGATGGGCAGGGTGGGATGGGGGGTTACGGTAGATGTATTTTATGATTAGCTGGGTTAGAGCATACATGGAATAGCTGGTATTGATTCGTATTATTGTAGCTACTACGCACCGTAAATAGCACATTCGTATATGTAGATTAAGATTTCGACGGAATTTCATACGATATAAAAAAGATTATTCTTCTTACCCAATAATCGAATATCCGACACCACGGCTCACGATGCCAAAACAGCTATGCTATTTCATCGAAATCCCCGCAGAAGAGTGAAAAATGAGGATCTCAAGACTTACACATTATGAAAAGTACCTACACAGTTACCAACCTAGCATCACATCATTTCCTTCTTTCTACAAATAAATACTCTTTCGGATATAAGTCTTACATACTCGGTCATCATTCATCATTACTCAGATGCATGTCCAAGATTGTGAAATAATGATATGTAGGGAATGATAGAAATAGAAATAGAAATAGGAGACCTCGATAAGAATTATTTCCGTGTTGTCTTCTTGCGAAATTTCAACTTTTTCGCTTGTGGAGTTGAGGGGTTTGTGGTTAGGGGGTTTGGGGAGAATTTCTTTTCGGGGGGGAGGAGGGGTGTTTTTTTTGCTTTGAGTGATTGTGTTGGTTTTTAGGATGGGATTTGGATTGCAATTTTAAGGTTGATAGGGGATTTTGGGGTGGTGGTTGGGAAGAAGGAAGAAGGAGAAAGGAGGAAGAGGGTTGGATTTGAGAAAAGGGTGAAATGAACTATCGGGTCTTGATAATTAATGGGCCGTAGTAAAGGGAGAGGAATAAAGAACAATCCTTCCCATTTCTTGTGTGTATATATATGAATATTCACTTTTCAAGCTCAAATCATATACCAATAGGTACCTACTAGGTACTCAGTAATACATCTCCTCGCCATTCCCCCACACAAATTCTCACCCCCAACTTTCACCTTCACCTTTCACCCTCCCCTTTCACCCTCATCTTCCCTCCAACCCCCTTCCTCTCATCCCATCCCATCCCATCTCCAAACCCCTCTCATAAATCCTCTCCCTTCCCATATACCTAATATCTCTCTCCAAATACCCCCCTCTTACCCATCAAACACGACAAACATCCGCTCATCCGCTTATCATTACCACACCCAAAGTACCAACCGAGTAAGTCCCCACTTTTCCTCCTTTGCATGTATTCCAAGGTTTCCATCTATGATGATTAAAATTGTCACGTTGATCGTTACGATAATGATAATATACTATACCTATGTTTTCACACTCATTCCATCTGAGATATATATTACTGTGTAGATTTGTATTAGATTGTAATTGGAATATAATATAAACTAATTTTGTGATTTTCTAGGTTTTTGTTCTTCTTTCTTTACTCCTTTTTTCTCCTTTTCTTCGGTTTTAAGGTTTTATTAGTGATGCTTATGAGGGATACAAAAGTTGTGAGTGAGTAGATAATCAAGTATGAGAAATCGAATGAATAATTAATAAACATCCAAGAAAAATCTCGATGTTATTGTATAGTATCTATCATCTCTAGCTAATTCATCAAGTATTAAGTATTAAATCGATTCTCCTTTTCAGATAGATAGGTACCCAAGAATAGGTACCTAAGTACAAAAACATAAATCCATCTTAACAAATTCCCTTCCTCGAAATACATATCAAATATCAAATATCAATAATATCAATATCAAATATCAAATATCAATATCAAATATCAAATATCAAATATCAAATATCAATATCAAATATCAAATATCAAATATCAAATATCAAATATCAAATATCAATATCAAATATCAAATATCAAATATCAAATATCAATATCAAATATCAAATATCAAACATATCCATATTCACCCCAATTCAATTATTCTCCCGCAACAAAACATCATCAACTTCACCAAGAACAATTCCTCAATATCTCGAATTCCCATCTCCAATCCCTTTGATAACAATCGAGGAAAAATTAATAAGGACTCGATACAAAATGATTATTTTTATAATTTCAAGTATATTATTTCTTCACTATATTTACAATCTATCAAGCCCAAGCTCTGAGGTCTCAAAAATATAATCTTACCAACAGCCGACTCGACTCGGTAAATAGTTATCGATTCCCCTTAACAAACGCCCCACTTTTCGCATCGAACATTTCATATATGTATTTTCTAACTCTGATTTACTACTACGCCGTTTGTGAATTTCTCGCTAGAAGAGAGAGGATCTTAGATAGGGGATTAAAGCTCATGAATTTTTCTTGGCGATTTTATTATGTCGATTTTGTTTTGTAAATGTTAGTTATACTGTGATGAGAGATTAGTAGATCGAGGATTCTCTGATAATTGTTAGGAAGCGAAATTGGTGTGAGAGTAGAGGATATGCATGATTAGGTACTTGGTGATAGAACTAATTATATTAAGGAGGGAGGTATGTAGCTGGATAGATATCGAATATCGGATCGGTGGGCTGATATAAAACTGTTTGGTGTGAAGCGAATGTTGTAGATGAGTAATTTACGGAGAAAGATAACTGTATACAAGATGGTCCATATCAATCATCTAGAAGAGAATTTGATTTGTTAACTCGGATAATTATACGTGAAGTGATGTGTATCTGGAATAAAGGTAGAAGTGGTGTTGTCTGATCGATCTTGGGGTTTGGAGTGTAAGTGTTGGTGTAGAGAAGGAAAGGGATATGAGATTTAGAGCTTTAAGTATCTAAGGATGTGTTAGATACTGGATGTCAGTGGATGGTGGTAAAGGTCTTTTGTCTCTGAATGTGTTTGATAGAAAGATGTAGAGAGTGAAGTGTTGAAACAGAGTCCGAATGGGAAGTTCGTTTCTAATGATATTAAGATAGATATCGAATACTAATGATGAATAACAATATGATGAAAAGTAGATGATATTATGCAAGCGCAGGGTATCTGATAGTCCGGACTATTGAATACTCTGAATTATATATGATAAGAAATTAATGATAATAAAGGGATATTGATATTTGACTGAGTTGAATAGAAAGATGCAGAGTGAAGTGTTGAAATAGAACAAGGGGTCAAATTGGTCTCTATGACACTAAGATAGATATCGAATACTGGTGATAAATAACAATATGATGAAGAGTACGTGATATTATTCAATCAAATGAAAGGAGTTGTCGAACATCAGAAAGTTTGATAGAAGATGAACCTTCCTCATGAATGCGCATTCAATGTATGTAGTAAAAGACTTTCATGAAGACTGAGTGCTCAACGAATGGAAGAGAAATAAGCTAGGTGAGTTTAAAATGGCAAATGAGATTAGTAACTTGAAATGCCTTATTTATCTATCCAGTTAATCAATTTCAGAACATAGCAGATGGAATGAAGTTCGATGTTTGAAGCACAATGTTCGAAGCTGGAGGTTACCAAGCACGGAACAGATGAAGGTAAAAGAGCCGCAGCAGACAGAAGAGTGCGGACACAAAAGAATGTCACAACACCCCACCCTCTTAGTATCATACCCAAAAAACATCTTCATGAATATACAACTCTCGTCCTCAATTTGATTAATCTTTTGTATCATCATTCGCATCATGTATTTCTCCTTCTCAATCATCAATATGCAAATCGTAATCATGACCAGTAAGCCAATGACCCTCGTCTTGTTACTAGCTCCAACATGAAGTCTCCAAGGTGGGCCGACCTTTATGCAAATTGAGGAAGGAGGTGAACATCACCACCACCAAAAGTTCACCGAGCTAGAGGAGAGCTCTTTCCCAAACAGATCTCACTCCCAGCAAATCCGGGTATCCATCCAGCAAAAGTAAATTCATATCAAAAGAAATAATCCCATCAATTCCCGTCAAATATGACAAACATGAAGTAAGTTTCTCTTGCCTACTCTTATGTTCGGCGCTTGGTAATGATTAAAATCAAGCACCATGAATTACCGTTTTCTGAGCAATCTTTCAAGGGGACTTGTAGACAGCGGCTGCAGATATAAATCTTTTCCTCAATCTCATACGTTCTGATCCAATTCAACTTATCAATAGGGACTTTATCAATAGGGACTAACAATTACATCTTTTCTCTTCTTCTTATTTCTTCTTTGCTCTTTGGGACTGTTCTGACAATTGCGCTCAACAATGTTCGGGACTATTCTTCCTCACGGGACTGAAATATCACACTTAATGTACAGGTCATCACGCTGCACGTGAATTTCTTCTTGGCCACAACCCTCAATTTGTTCGTTTTGAACGTGATGGAGTGATTATTTGAAATACATATACCTATTAAAAGTTCAAAAATTCAAGAATTATCATCTTTTTGCGGCCCGATTTGACCATGTGAAGAGAGGAACAAGATTAGAAGCGTAGAATTTTTGATAGATTTTTCGAGGCAAAGCAGGATAAGATATTGGAGTTTGTATATAGGAGTGAGTTTTTGATGATTGTGGAAGGTGCGAAGATCGGTTTGGATAGCTGTAGCCGTAGCTTGCGTTGGGATAGAAATTGGGTGAACGAAGAGAATGGGATTGAATGGGAAGCCAAGATTGGGGGCTGAGATGATTGATTTTGACTAGATGTGATAGTAGAGACAATGGGAAACTTCAATGTGAGATAGAAATGCTACACAATTTGTATTTTGTGTGAAATAGTAATAATATTGAGATGATCTATATGTATCGTGCGGAAGTCTTCTCCCATCTGGGATTGGATATACTTCCCTTTACCAATGATTACACGATATCATCTTTCACAGTCCTCCATCTTACCTCAACCATAAGATAGATAGTTTCAGTTGAAATTTATAAAGGTATTCTGAGTTTATATTTAATTTTATAATACTCTAAGAAACATTCTTCTCTTCATAGGTATGGTATGCTGTACCGAAATATCACCATCATATTATATGTATCCTCATTATTTACTTCTTTACTTCTCTTACTCGCTCGATAACTCACTCGATAACTCTCTCTATATATCAAAATCCATGACAATCTTCTTGGATATAGATAGAGAGATGGGATAACGTTTATTCCAAATGAGCGTTAATTCATACCAAGTACCGAG